TGTTATCTTGGATTGGCAATTGCACGCGATCCAGACCCCTTCCGAGGTCCAGACATAGTGCGCTCGATGTACAAATGCATTGTCTACGTCCTTGCCAAGTTTGAGCGAGGTCATTTAAAAACGTCATGTTGGCGATCGAGAGCCCTGTGAGCGCCTCTGCGCTGTGCACGTCTCCATTTATTGGCCAAAACTCATTTTTAAAAGACCAATCAAATTGCTCAAGCTTAGCTCGGCACTTGGATTGCGCGACCGAGCGTTGATTGGCGGAATTCACCGGATAACGCCGGATACAGAGGAGTGTGTGCGACCGGATAATGGCCGATTTGCCAAAGTACCAAATAATGGCTGAAATAGCTTTCCAGCCCTGTTTTGCATTTGGCAAGTCATGGGCTTTGGAGCATTCGTCCGGGACTCGGTGCTGGCGCTGCTCATCCTCTCGGCGAGCGGCCTTGTCGGCTACTTTCGCCGGCGGTGGGCCTACCGCCCGCTGCACAAGTACGGCCTCACGCTCGGCGCCATGCTCGTTGGTGCCGGCGCCTACATGGTACGCCGATCATCGAGGCGCGATGCAGTCTCACGAGCAACGTGGCTAGTTTCTTCGCTCCAACTCGGGCACGCTCGCAGCGCTCGTGCTTCTCTTCTTGACGATGCTTGGCTTTGCCGCTGGCGACGGCTGCGTCGCCATTGGGCTCACGGGCGGCATCGCGACGGGCAAGAGCACGGTCTCGAAGCGGCTGCGCGAGAAAGGTGCGGTCATCATCGACGCCGACGTGGTCGCGCGCCAGGTTGTCGAGCCTGGTCAGCCGGCGCACCGCGCGATTGTCGCCGCCTTTGGCACGGACATCCTCAACCCGGACCGGACGCTGGACCGCGCCAAGCTCGGCAGCCTAGTCTTCAACGACCCGGCCAAGCGCGCGACACTCAACTCGTGCACTCACGTACGTATACGATCTCAAACACGCATGGTCATGCTTCTTGTGTGCAGAAACACATCCTCTTGGCCATGTTCTTTGAGCTGCTCTACCTGCGCGTCGTCAAGCGGGCCAAGCTCGTGGTGTTTGACGCGCCGCTGCTCTTTGAGACGCAAATCCTCGAGTACTTTTGCACGCCGATCGTCGTCGTCGCGTGCTCGGAGGCGAACCAGCTCACGCGTCTCATGAGCCGCGACAAGCTCCCGAAGGACCAAGCGACGAAGCGCATCCAAGCGCAGATGCCCCTCGCTGTACCATCGTATTGCTCGGAAGTCCCTTGCTCATTGCACCCTCGTTTTTATATAGGAGAAGGCTGCCAAAGCCAACATCGTCCTCGATAACAACGACTCGCCCGAAGCGCTCATCAAGCTCGTCGACGCCACCTACGAGACTCTCAAGCGCGTCTACTGAGCTCTCGTTATGCACTACACTGTACGACGCCGCCTGGGGCTTGAAACACTGCAATACAACACTGTTTCCGTCAAACTTTGTTTCCATGAAACACTGTTTCTTTAAAAAGATAGTTACTTGAAGACGACAATGTCTTGCTTGGTGCGTCGCTCGTGACGCGCCGCCGTCACGTGGTCGTCAATGATATGCAATGGGCGGAAGCTATCGTGCTTGGACACGGGGCTCGTCACGCGCTCAAATACATTGCGGTGTGGTACCGACGCGGCCACCGGCGCCGGTGACAGCACTAGTGTCCGGACGTCATGGACAAGGAATTTGCCCGTCACTGCGTCAATCTCGGGGACCGCAAACAGTGGTTGCTCGTCATCGTCCTTGTCCTTGTCCGTCGTGTCGTTGGTCGAGCCAACGTGCCGCCACCGCCGCGCGACAAAGCTCGTCACGTCCAGAACGACGACGAGCGACTGCAGCTCGGTGGTGTACGCCGCGTCACTGAGCTTGCCGCAGGCTTCGTCGACGCTTCCGTCGCTGTCGACGAGTGCGCAGATCGCAACGGCTTCGTCGAGCGTCGGGTGGAAGGTGCGGACATGGGTTACGCTTCTCGCCAGCGCTGTCGGGCTCGCAAAGAGCTCGAGGCCGACGTCGAGGAGCGCGCGCCAGTGCTGCACGTACGAGACGTCGCCGTTCGAGTAGCCCAGCTATCGCTCCATCGTACGACTTTGCAACAAGATACATATTGAATACCCGGCGGTACGACGTGAGCGATCGCAGGCGGCGCGCGTCCGGGCGGTCAAAGTCGGGTGACAAAAAGTTGCGTGGCGCCGGGCCAACGCACTTGGCCGGCCCTTTGAATTGGCGCGGGGCCGCATGCGGAAGGTACGGCTTGAGCCGCACGGTTTCTGCATGCAAGAGCTTGAGCGACGCGATCGTGTCGATATGCTTTCGCGTGGGCGGCGCGACGTCGATGTCATCAAGATCTAGGGATAGGGGTGAACTACGACGTGGAATTTGCAGAGGGACGTACGTGGCAGCGCCGGCTCCTCGACAAGAACAGGCGTCTCTTGAAGACGGATTGTCTTGAGCGTCGACTGTTTGGCGAGAAGCCGCCGCGTGAGGGTGTGCGGGTCGGCGCCGTGGTGTTTTCGATGCAAAAACTGGCGGAATTGCCGCTGGACCTTGAGCGTGGCTGTGGTTTTTCCGAGTCCGCGCCGACCGGACGCGACAATATCGGGAATTGACGTCGAGAGCAATAGGGCAAAGTCGTCCTTGTATGCGCGTTTGAGCTCGTGGAGCGTATACATGGGTTTGATCTCGTGGGACGAGTTGCGTCCGCGGCGGTAGTCGTCTTCGGCCGCGTTGACATTGTGGAGGCAGTAGTGCGAGACGCCGCGAATGTAGTACAAGGTCGCGCGCAGTTTGGCGGCTTTGGCGTACGTCAGTGCGAGTGTCGCATAGTCGATGGCCAAAAACAAATGTCCTAGTCGCCATTTCAGTCGATCCCGTTTGTCGAATGGACAATGTGGAGTACCGCGTCGGAGGCAGAGACTGCAGAGCTTGTGCCACATGCTCGCGTACAGTTCGTCGGCGTAGTTGGTCGCAGGCCCAAACAAGTCGAGCAAGATGCGCGAAAAGAGCTCGGACGAGCCGAGGAGGTCGCCTTGCAGCTGGAGGCAGCGTGCGCGGACCAGGTCAAAATCTAGCGCCGCGTACCCGGTCGGCCGCGCATGCAACTGCTTGATTTTAAAGAGCACGTTGAGAGCGTCACCGAGTCGGTCGTTGGCGGCAAGGATCTGGAAATGGGTAAACAGTCGGTCGACGTAGATTTGGTTGTCGAGGAGACCAAACTGGATGCCGTGGTGGAGGTTGACGGTCGCGAGCATCTCAAGCGGTCGCTCCTTCACGCCTTGCATGAAGAGCGCGGTCGCAAAGTTGATGATGAGGGGCACGTCGCCCATGTTTTCTAGAAACGACATGGCGAGCGTGTACGTCTCGGTCGCTTGGTGCAGATGGAAGACGCAGCAGTGGTGCGGCCGCGGATGGCGCATCATGAGATGGTAGTGGGCGTGGCCGAGCACTTGGTAGAAGCGCCATCCGCCCCGCTCGTCGTGCATCAAACTCACTTGCTCCAGGAGCACGATCGCCCAGAATTTCGAGCCTTCCTGCTCGGCGTACCGGTAGCCCAAGTCGATGCGCAACGCGACGTTGGTCGGGGCCGCGAGCAGCTGCTCTTCAATCTCGAACGTGGGTACGCGGGCCGCGACCTTGGCGCTCCACGCACCGAAGCTGATGCGGCGCGCCTTTGTGAGCTCGACGCGCTTCTTGAAGCCGGAGTTGGTGTCTTTGGCGCCACTACCCGGTGCCACCACTTTCGGGCTCAGCTGAAACACAGGTAGCGTCTGCATGCGCACGAGGGCCCGCGGCTATAAGATGACGATGGAGTTGATATCTTGATAGAAAGAAGACATCTGGTTGTACCTTGGTGGGTGATGTGGACCGCGGCGCAAGGACGGGCAGCGTCGTCGCGACCGTGTCCATGGCGCGCCCTTTCTAAAAGTAGTTCCCCTCGGTTTAGTCGATATAGCGACTAGACATGAAACGGTGGCCTTTCTGCGATTCGATTGGCTGCATTTAAACCCTTGAGAATACATACTTTGGCATTCCCGCGAGCTGCATACAAACCATGCATGGAAAAAGACCGTAGCAATGCATACGATCAGCGACTACTAGTCGTTTAGTCGACACGTGAAACCGATGAACCAGAGGGCAGCGGCGATGGCCGTCGGCGAGGCCCTAAGCGAAGCCTACGCCGAGTCACGCCGGCCGTCGGTCTCGCTCGAGCCCGAGGCGCCCCAGCCGCGTCGTCGGTCGACGGCCGCGTCCGACAAGGCCGACGCCACCCGGCCCTCCGAGGACGTGTCGGCCCACGCGCTCGAAGCGAGCCTGCACTCCTCGAGCATCCTCCTCGAAGGCTCGGGCTCGCCCACCAAGAAGCAGCAACGAATTGATCCAGCCACGGTGGACACGCTCCGTGCGAGCGCCGATGGCATGCCCCTTGGCGCGCTCTCCAAGACCGAGGCCGAGTATGACTTTGCGATCGTGCTCAAGCCGACGCGACCGGACGACAGCGCTGTCGCTCGCCACGTGGCGCCAGCGACAAACCTCAAAGCTTTTTACCGCAAGCACCCCCAGCAGGCCAAGGTCGAGCTGCTCCGGCGCCTGCATGCCGTGGGCCTACAGACCAAGAAGCTGCGGGCGCTCGATGGGAAGCAGACGCTCATCAAGGTCAAGGCGCCCGGCCACGTCCTCGAGGTATCCGCCCTTCGCTGCGCATATTCCACACGAAGCATGCGTCGTACACGTAGCTTGGCGCGGAGAAGATGCGGCTGAAGAAGCGGCGGCAAGTCGACCTCATGTGGGTCGAGTTCGCCGCCGACTGCCGCGAGACCTTTCAGGACTTTTGGGATGGCGACATGCACTTTCTAGACTCGGAGAAGCAGAGCATCGTGCACAACCTCATCACCACCGACGACGGCGCGGGCCTCAATGAGCACAGGTATCAATCTATCAATCTATCTGTCAATATATCGATATCGGCACTTGCTGACACACGCCTAGTGATCTTTTGCCGATCGTGGAGCAAATGTTGCCGCTGCACAAGGCCAATCTCGACCTACTGCGTACGCACTGGGTGTGCTACTGGCGTCCGTCGTCGCCGTCGTCCGTTCCCGTCGCTGCGATGACGCTATATCGACTTCTGCGCTACGCCCTCGACCAGCCATTGGATGTGGTGGCAGAGTACTTTGGCGAGCACATTGCGTTCTACTTTGCGTGGGTCCAGCTCTACACGCGCTGGCTTGTGCTGCCGACGCTAGTGGGCGTCTACCTCTTCTACTGCCAAGTCGCCTCCAAGTCGCTCGATCAGCCGTTCGCACCGTACTATGCGCTCTTTATGGCGCTCTGGGCGTCCGGCTTTCTGCTCGCGTGGAAGCGCCAAGCCAACTCGCTCGCGTACCGCTGGGGCACCTTGGGCTACGAGGACGAAGAGGTGCTTCGACCCGCGTACCACAAAGGCGGTCTCCACCGCTGGGTCAAGTACGCCGTCACGTACACGCTCGTGCTGGCTGCGATCGGCCTCGTGCTGGTGCTCATGTACTACGCCTTTACGACGCGGTATGTCAACATGACTTGCCACGGAAATGATGACGCAATCTGACAGGGACGCGCTCGCCGACGAGTCGCTCGCGCTCCAAGCCAACTTGACGCACATTGCCTTCAACTGGTCGAATCTCTCGGAGCTGAATGCGCTTGCCAACGTCAAGTTTTGGGTCTACGTGCTCGTGACGCCGATGCTCTACGGTCTCTGCATCCCGATGCTCGACATGGTGTTTACGCTCCTGGCGACGCGCATGACCGAGTATGAGAACCACAAGACCGCGTCGGCCTTCCAGAGCGCCCTCATCCTCAAGGTGTTCCCGTTCCGCTTCGTACATGTGTTTGCGACCTTGTACTACTACGCGTTTGCAGCGGGGAACGACCTCTTGCGCGTCGCCATTCAACTCGCAACGTTCATGCTCTCGGGTCAAATGTGGCACAACGTCGTCAAGACGGGCGTGCCGCTGCTGCGTCGCGTGTACCGGCACCGCAAGAAAAGCGTGGCGACGGCCAAGCTCCTCCGGTCGTCGCCGCTCTTTGCGACCAAAGCCCCGACGGCGGTCCATCGGCAGTGCATCCGCCTCGAGCAAGCGTCGTCCTATGTCTGGGACGAGAGCCAGCTCGACAAATACGACCCGTTCGAGGACTACATCGAGATGCTCATCCAGTTTGGCTACGTGAGCTTCTTCTCGATCGCGTTCCCGCTGGCGCCGTTGCTCGCGCTCATCAACAACCTCATGGCTCTGCGGGCCGACGCGTTCAAGCTCTGTCACACCAAGCAGCGCCCGATCGCTCGCAAGGCCAGCGGCATCGGCATCTGGTATCGATCCACTCCACATATATACCACTCTACTTCCGAGTAGGTTGCCTGTGCTCCAGGCCATGTCGATCCTCGCGGTCCTCACCAACTGCCTCCATGTGGCCTTTACGACCACGCAGATGGAGCGCATCGCTCCGTCGATTTCGCCGGCGCAAAAAGTGTGGGTCGTCTTTGCGGCCGAGCATTCCGTGCTCCTCCTCCAAGTCGGTATCGCGTGCGCCGTGCCTTCCATGACCAAGGACGTCAAGGCGAATGTGCGTGCTGAGAAGGCAATGCTCAAGAATGCCAGCGCCAAGGCCGTCGCGGCGCGGCTCGCGTGCGCGACGGTCGAGGACGACGACGACGGCAACGACTCCGACTCGCCCGAGAAGAGCGCCTTGTAGCAGTGTACCATATCCATACCGCGCCTTGCCCCGTCCTACGCGCGCTTCGACGATCGCAATGCAGTGTTCAGGTTCGTAGCAACACAAGGTGATATCGCAGTCTCTCGGAGGCTTGTGACAAAAAACTGCGTGTTTCCATCCTGCGTCTTCTGGTCGTAGTACATGCCTTGTGTTCATCGCTTCTGGCTGCAGCACGGCCCGACGTACTTGGCATTCGAGTCGGCGAGCTCTTGGAGCTTGAAGCTATTCGCACGCAACTCCATGATCAGCACCTGAACGAGACAGAGGAGGGGTTACGTGTCGAGCTTGGGGTCGCACGCGCTGTGCACCCACATTTCACACGCGTCGCAGCAAATGAAGTCGTTGGCGTCGTCGTCTTCGTACACGACGTTGCACACGGGGCAGTACTGGCCGATCGCGCGGAGCTCGCGCTCCCGGGCGGTCTCGGTCTTGCTCGCCTTGGCCTTGGGTGTCACGCTGTGGTCCCGCGCACGCTTCTTGGACGACCGCTTGCGCTCGTCGTCCGTGTTGCTGGGCGACAGGACGACGTCGGCGACCGGCGAGTTGGGCGGCGAGCTCGTCGCGCTCTTCTTGGCCTTCTTCTTCTTCTTCTTGGACGACTTCTTGGACGACTTTTTACGCTTCTTGTCGTCCGAGCTCTCATCTGCGTCATGCTCATCGTGCTCGATGACGTCATGCACGAGGCTCGTGGCCACCGGCGAGGCCGCCATGATGGGCGCTTCGACGACCGGCGCGACGACGACCGGCGCCGGCTTGACTTTCTGGGCAACCTTGTCTTCCTTGAGCTTTTCCTTGCGCTTCTTCGCGGCGAGTTGCGCACGCGACTTGATGGGGCATGTGCGCTTGACGTAGCAGTTCAAGCACAGATCGTCCTTCTTGAGGTACACGAGCTGCGCGTCGGGGCTTGGGTCGGCCATCTTGGCGTCCACTTGCCGCCACAACGCCGAGACCTTGGTCGTGCACTCGACGCAGACACGCTCGTAGCTATAGGCGAGCCGCTCTTCGTCGAGCTGGGCAGGTGTCTTGTCCGGCACCTTGCGCTTCCGGCCGCCGCCACGCCCGGCGCCCTGCTTGGGCATACTCTTGAGCGCAAACTCCTTTGGCGGCCACGACCGGTCGCGCACAAACTCGGGGCGAATGATCTCGCCATCTTCGTTGCGGGCTGCGTACATGCACGTGTGCGTCGCGTGCTCGTCGTGGCGAGCGTGCGCGCGCTCGAGGCGGAAGCACTCGCGCCGCTGGATCTCCATGAGCGCGTCAATGCGCCGGATCGCAGTCGTCGTGTACGCCGGTGGCAGCGACGCGTCGAGGCTGCGCTGGCGCTGCGCCTGGTGGACGTACGCAGCCGCTTCAATGGCCCGGAGGTGGCGCAACCGTTCGTACGCCCGAGAGGTGCCCCATGTGGACGGAAAGATGCACTCGACGTCGACGGGCGCGCAGCGCGGGGCCGACCTCTCGTCGCGCATCGGCGAGGCCATCGCGGGCAGCGGCGACGTCGTGCATGCAATTGCCTCGGACGAAATCGTCGATTGCTCGGGCGGCGTCTCTGACATTTTGAATAAAAAACACGTTGGGTTTTGTATGGCCGTGCGTTTGAGGTGCACGAGAAGAATAAACACACGCACCTTTGGAGCCGTCATAGCGCTCTCACGGGCTTGAAACAGCGCCGACAGCGGTCCCGCCGTGTCTCACCCGAGAAAATACGATGAACTACTATGGTGCTTCGTTGCAGCGCGGCGACGTAAGGCCATCATGATTATGCGCCAACATGGAGTCCTTTGAAGGGACAACGTAGAGTTGGGTGTTTTTAAACTCAGGCGCGCCCATGAAGAGCCGTTTTCGAGTTTTGGATACCGGTTCCCATACAAAGCGCAAGTGCAAGTCGATTCTCACTCGAGGCGATCCCTGTCACGACGGAGCAAGCATGACCGACGGTGGCGTCTACAGCGTCCTCTTCGACTACAGCGCCTTTGCGGCGTCGGGCAGCAACGGGCGCAGCCCCGAGGACGACGAGGCCCGCGTCCAGTGGATCGTGTGGTTTGTCTCCGGGCTCTTTGTGCTGCTCGCGATCTTCACGTCCATGCGGCTCATCCGCAACCATCTCCGCCACTTTACTAAGCCGCTCATCCAGCGCAAGATCATTGGCATCCTCTGGATGGTGCCGATCTATGCGACCGACTCGTGGCTCTCGTTGCGCTTCCGGGTACGCGCCAAGGAGCCTTCGCATCACGCTCATGAACTTTCGGATCTTGTAGTCGTACGCATTGATCTTTGATATGCTGCGTGACTGCTACGAGGCCTATGTGATCTACCTCTTCCTTGCGCTCATGGTCGCGTACCTCGGCGAAGGCAGCGACGAGCGCGTCATTGCGGTGCGTCGGCCTTCGCACCACGTCCCTATCGAGCTACGTCTTCGATAGATCCTGCGTACGTTGCCCGACCTCCCGCATCCGTTTCCGCTCAACCACTGCTACAAGCCCATCAAGATGGACAAGACGTTTCTTCGCGACTGCAAGATGGCGGCCATGCAGTTCGTCGTGCTCAAGCCGCTCACGACCTTTATTGCGATCGTCCTCGAGGTGCGACGCCTTGGCGCCTCGGTCCGGACATGACCCAACGACTCTATTAGCACTATGGGCTCTACGACGAAGGTCGCTTTACCATTGCGCGGGGCTACCTCTACCTCTCGCTTGTGCTCAACTGCAGCATCACGTATGCGTTCTACTACCTCGTGCTCTTCTACCTTGCGCTCGGGGCGCACCTTCGCCCGTTTAACCCAGTACCCAAGTTTCTCTGCGTCAAGGCCGTGCTCTTTCTGAGTTATTGGCAGAGCGTCGTGCTCGCATTCCTTTCGCGCTTTGAGATCATCCACGAAATCGGGTCGTGGACCACCGACGACGTGACGACCGGCATCCAAAATGTGCTCATTTGCTTTGAAATGTGCATCATCGCGATCGTCCACAACTACGCCTTCCCGTACGAAGGCTACAGAGACCTCTTTGCCGACACGTCGACGTCGTCATCGACGTCGCTCCTCCGCGACAATTTGTTTTCCGAAAATTTTGCCATCGACGACGCGCTCCGCGACTTTAACGAGGTCATGCCGATCGTGCTCCCGTCCAAGTTCAAACCGTCGGCCAACGTCCAGCGAGAAAAGAAAAAGGCCTTAACGGCCGTTCCATCGACGCGCACTCGACCGCCGCCGCCGCCCGCAACGCCCGCGACGGCGCTCGACCTCGATCGCGGCTGGAAGCTATGATTGTAGTATGGTCTCAGTTGGATCAACGACTAGTGTTTTGATTAAGATGCGTTCGGAGGAAGGGCGTTCGACTGACTCGAGAAGCCCTACGGCGCTTCGAGTCGAAACAAGGGCGCATATGCCATGGAATACCGTTCTGGCATTGGTGTTTGGCGTCATGGACCAGGTTTGTCCAGACTAGACTATACATCTGCGTCCTAATGCTGCGATACTTTAGCACGCCACCTGTGCGATAGTACCACACAACAATTGCAACCAAAGAAGATGATTATGAACGATGACAACGAGAGCCATCTAATGCGAAATCGACTTGTCTTTGGCAATTTTGAAATCCTGGAGGTCGTCTTGCCCCGTGAGTTCGAGGCCCTTGTCGTTCGCGAGGTGCAGCATACAAATAAAGTAAAAGGACACGGTCACATTGCGGGGCACCTAAGGACGCGTCATTTCTCCAGAGACAAGAAACAGTCGTACGTTGGGGGCCACGTCGTGCACCATCTCTTCAAACGACACCACATCGTCTACATGAAGCTTGGCCGCCGACGCCGAGAGTTCGTCCACCGAAGCGTCCTCCTTGGTCTCTTCTTCGTCTTCGTCATCGGCGTTGGTCTCGACATGGAACGGCAGCGTCGACCAAATGCTCTCCTTGAGCTTCTTGACGTCCACGCGCTTGGCAAACTTCTCATACGTAATGTTGATCTTGTCGACGACCCGGTCGGCTTGGAGCAGCCCCGAGACTATCCATTTATCTCGCTACGTATCCAGATGCTTACGATAGTGTACCGTTGTAGTCGTCGGCAGGGTTGAAATCATCAGCGCCGCCGCCAAAGTCAATGCCATCATCGCCATCGTCGTTGTCGTGCGGCGCGTGGTCGTTCGAGTGCACGGGCGTCCGGCCAAACGACATGGCCGCGACCGTCGACGCGCTGCTCTTGTGACTCAGCATCGACGCCGGCGCCTGCGCAAAGATCTTTGACTGCGGCCGCGTAAACAGCTGGTAAAACCCAGGGAGCTGCACGTGGAGGTCCACGGGGTACACGAGCTTGGCGGCTTCGATTTCGTGCCGCTTGCACACAGAGTCCCCGAGCGTCAACATCATTTTGGGCTTCTTGGGCTTCTTAAAGGCCGCCGCGAGGTCGTACTCGGTGGCCGTAAACGTAAACGCTTCCTTCTTGCGTGACTTGTCCGACGGCTTGGCGGACGCTTTGGCGGACGCTTTGGCCGATGCTTTGGTCGATGCTTTGGCTGACGGCTTGGCTGACGCCCGGACGCAACGCAGCTTGAGCTTCCAATGGGACGGCCCCGCCCAGTTCTTGAGTGTTTTCGCGTCGAAAAATGAGTATTCGTCCGTTTGGTCGCCGCCCACCGAGCGCATGAGCGCGCTCTCGAGCATGTGCTGGTGCTGGTCGTCAATATCATCCACCGGCAGATCCACCGCCGCTTCCACTTCGGGCTGCTCGTCGTCGTCGTCGTCCTCGACATCGTCAAAGTTGAGCGGCTTGGCAACCGGCTCGTCCTGCTCTTCGTCGTCCGGCACGACTGCGTCGGCGGTCGCGGGATCGATCGGGGCCGGGGCTGGTGCGGGTGCCGGTGTTGGCGCGTACTCGGACGGTGCGTAATCATCATCGTTGTCGTCGTCGTCGTCAGCGCCCATGCCCATGTCGTAGTCGTCGTCCATCATCATCGACTCGTTGGCGTTGGGCAGCAGCGTCATGCGGCGCGGGCGACTCGACTGCGACGCGGCAATGTCGAGGCGGGGCACCGTCACCTTCTTTTCGAAAAAATCGTGGTTCATGCTCTTGAGCTGGTCGTAGAAGTGTTCGAGCTTTGGGCAAATCTCCTGTTCCTACTCACGTCCCTCGACATCACATTGCCACGGTCGTGAGAGCGTACCTCGGCCAGCATCGGCTCGGCGCGCAGGCGCTTGGCCAAGCCCGAGATGTTAATGAGCGGCTTGGCCTCGACCTTGTCGGCCGCAGCCGCCGGTTCGATCTTCTCGGGCACAGCCTGCACATTGCTTGAGTCGAGCATGATCTTGCAGCCGTCATGGACACTCTACGCATCGTTTATGGACTTTGTCAAAGCGACATGATGGGCGTACGAGGTTGACGAGAAGCATGCCCTTTGCGCCGCCCTCGTCAAAGGCCTGCGACATCTTCTGGAAGAGCGGGTCGACTTGGAACTCGAGGTCCACCGACTTCATGTTGATGTTGTTCATGTTGGACTCGGTCGTGTTGCCCGTCGTGAGCTAGATACCAACCGTGTATCATTCCTGCCAGCAAAGTAGTGAGAGCGTACTTTCTTGGTTGCCTGGCGGCGCTGGGACGCCCCGTCGTCGTCGTCATCTGCATGCGTCTCAACTAAAGGCGGGTGTCGGGACAGCGAAGTCTACCTGGCACGTCGTCGCCGCGCGTGAGGTTCTCGAGCACCTTGAACGACGAGTTCCACGTGTCGTCGACGCGGTACGAGTAGATCTTGACGCTGGCGTCGAGCGTGCAGCTGGCTTTTTGAAAGTTGTACGTATCGGTCGAGTCTTCGTCCTCTTGCCTGTATCTGCGTAAGGGGGAGGAGGATGCGTCCGGTGCCATACCGCTTCTCGACGAGGATGTCGTCAATGTGGTCGATCAGGTGCAGCGAGAACGCGTTCTTCGAGTTGATTTTCTACATGGCACAGCATGGCATCATCGAGTCGATGCGAAGGACGACGTACGTTTTCCGACGACATTTGGATGATCTTCGAATACATGTCGGCGACGTACTGCTTGGTCTTGGTGACCGGCGTCAGGGACTTCCGGCGAGCGAGCGAGCCCTTGGCGCGCGGGCGGCGACGGGCGGCCATGGCCTCTTCCGTCTGCGAGGCGTCGCGCGGCTCGTTGGGCGTCGCGGCTGGTGTCACAAACGCGCTCTCTTCGGCAGCATGCCCCTCATTGGATGGTGGCGCCATGGCGTTGGTATTGTTGACCTCGGCCTCGTCGTCGGACGAGTCCATGGGCTGCGCTCGGATCGGCTTGCTCTTCTTCGAGCGCATGGTGATGCCACGGACGTCGTCCTCGTCGTCGTCTTCCTCTTCCTCGTCGTGGCCTCCCTTGGCCTTCTTGCGGGCTTCGGCCGGCGGCTCGGGGGTCCGGTCCCGGCGCTGTCGCTTGTCTCCGCCCTTGGCCATTGCGTTGCCCCAAAAATTCACTCCAACTGCCGGAAAACGTACGGATACCGAGTTTTGAATATTCGAACGTATCCGGATCGATCCTAATTCCATGAGGATCCGCCTCAGATCAGGGCGTCGCGCCTGGCTCACCACCAAACACACGTGAAAATTACATTTCTCACACTTCAACGTTCCGCCCTTCCGCCACCGCCCACTGATGACGACCTCTGAGCAGGAAGGTCGATCGAGAGGAAGGTCGAAAAGCCACGCACCGCTGCTCGGTGTGCAGTCGCATGATAGGATTGTGCATTGAGCTTCGTTAAATGCTCAGTCGTCGTCGTCGTGCTGATTGTATTTTTCACACCACCTGGCATGTGTGAAATGTAGATCTGGTTTCCCGCGGTTGGAAAGGCCACAGTTCGAACCGTGCCATGCCATCGCCGACCGAGACCACCGGCCTCGTCCGCCATGCATCGGCGCAGACGATGGCGGTGCACCGCCCACGCTTCTCGCCCTGGGGCCTGCTCATCGGTGTCCCGCTGCTGCTCGGCCTCGGCTGGTTCGTCGCCGAGTGGTCGCGAGCGCCGGCCTTTGTCTGCGACCCCCACGTCGCGCAGTCGTCTGGCTATCTGCCCGTCGCGCCGGAGACGCAGTACTTTTACTACTACTTCGAGTCGCGCGATCGTCCAGCGTCCGATCCGCTTGTACTTTGGCTCAATGGCGGGCCTGGGTCCTCGAGCATGCTCGGGCTCTTCCTCGAGAACGGTCCGTGCCTCGTCCAGAAGGATGGCAGCCTCATGTACAACGAGCATGCATGGAATTCACGTGCCAACGTCCTCTATGTCGACCAGCCCGCGTCGGTTGGTCTCTCAGTCGGCCCACTGAGCGCGCCGGCGGCCATTGGACCCAACATGCTCCAGTTCTTGCGCGGCTTCTTCGCCTTGCACCCGGACCTCGCGCGGCGACCGCTGTACCTCACGGGTGAAAGCTACGCCGGCCATTACATCCCCGTCATTGCCACGACGCTTTTGTCGGCCAACGAGAGCGCGATCAACCTCAGGGGGATTGCGATCGGGAATGGCCTCACCGACACGGACATCCAGGCGCAGCACCAGCTCGACATGGTGACCAACCAATACAACGTGACGCTCGTGCCGTCGTCGCACCTGCCTGAGCTGCAAGCCATGGCGCAGGACGTGACCAAGAGCATCCGCGCATGCCGGACGACCAAGAACGACTCGGTGTGCGAAGACGCGGCGCTCGCCTTCATCACGTTTCAGGGCACCATGGAGAGCTATGCGCCAACCCGCAACAGCCTCGACATTCGCCAAGAGTGCATCGACGACGCGTGTGAAGCGCCCATGAAGGCCGTGGCGACGTTCCTCAACCGCCCGGACGTCCAGGCGCAGCTCGGACTTCCATCGCCGGTCGTCTACCGGAGCGACAACCCCAAGTACATGGAGCCCTTCCTCGTCGACATTGTCACCAACTATGCGCATCACGTCGAGGCGGTGTTGGCGGCGAACGTGCCCGTCCTCTTGTATGCGGGCGACGCCGACCTTCAATGCAATTGGCAGTCGATTGACGCGTGGTCCGCGGCCATGGCGTGGGCGCAGACCTCGAGCTACACCAAGACGACGCTACAGCCCTACGTCGCCGCCGACGGCCGCACGGTACCACGCGATCAACACTGCACCCTTACTCATACGCCATCTAGGTCGGCCAGGTTCGCGCCCATGACCTCCTCACCTTTGTGCGCATCTTTGAAGCCGGCCACCTCGTGCCGTCGGCGCAGCCGCAAGTATCACTCGAGATGCTCAACACCTTCCTCGCCGGCACCCCGTTCGTCTAGTCTCGTGGAATAGACGTGCGTTCTCCCATACTCTTGGCACGGCGCTGGTCCTTGGCAGCGCAGCGACCTTGCACCCGTAGCATCACGACCATGGTTCAATCCCCGAGGATGTGCAGTGATGGGTTGCAGGATGATCGAGGAGGGTTGGGTAGCAGTCGCGCTGCCGCCCGTACTTCCAAGAGGCTGCAACTGCGAGCGATTGTGTCGTGGGAATGTGGTCGCCTTGTGCAGACGGTGCAAGACTGCCACGTGTCGCTCACGCGCCATCCCGGGGCCCGCGCTAAGCTCGTCGACGCCAACGCGATGTGCTGCGGCGAGCAGCAGAAGAGTCCGATCCAAAATAAATTCAAACGTGTTACCATTCTGCTTGCGTGGACGCTTACTCTTCCGGCCACTTGTTCTCGTCGCGGATAAACTTTTCCTCTTCGGGCGTAAAGGGCTGCTCAATGTTGAACGTCTCGCGGATCTGGTCGGGCGTCTTGCCAAAGATGATGCCCGAAACCTTGGCGCACGAGAGCTCGAGGAGGCTCTTGATGTCGAGGTAATTGGCCGCAAGGATGAGCTCAAAGATCATCTCGTACGGCACGTCGATAAAGTCGAGGTCCCACTTCTCGACCACGTCCTCAAACTTGGTCTTGATCGGCTTGGGGATCTCCTTCATCGGCGTCGCATGGTGGTAGTTCATAAACTCAATGACCTTGAGCAGCACCGGCGTCTTGACGTTGGGCAGCGGGATCTCCTGCCCATCTTCGCAGTCGTCCTCGAGCTGCTCCTTGACGAGCTGGCTCATGAGGGCCACGTCGAGGGCCACCTCGAAGTTCTCGCCCTCCGCCGAGATCAGCTGCACCTTCTTCTCCGAGCCCATCGTTCGTCTGCCGGAAATCCGAAAATGACGCTCACAAGCGAGGGACCATCGCATCCGGATGCCAAACCTCTGAAACCACATATTTCGTCCCATACAAACACCAAGTCCAACGGCCGCGAAGGACCAGCACTCTCAGTGTCCTGTCGGGAGACTGTCCTTGGGAGAGACATTGTTGCTGGCTCTTGGTTTGATCAATTCTGTGCACACAGCTTGCCGATGCGTCAGGCGGTGCTTGATAAATGACTTGGTAAATCGATTGAAAAAGCGGGGCAGCGGGCCTTGAACTGGGCGATCCGCTAAAGCTAGACGCAAAGGGACGGGCACAACCCGGGACAACAATCCCGCCGCCAACGATCATAGAAGCGGCCGTTGGTTGATGGACCAAGACCTTCCAGCGGTTTTGATACAGCGTTTTAAACTGCTGGATCGGTTGGGATTTCAATCAAGAGCGAGGTTGAGAGCGGTTTGGAGATCATCCCCGGCGACGAGTGCAAACACAACCGAGCAGCACGCGCATGCGATATGAGAGGTACGGAGTGGACAGGATCCTGTAAAAATGAATATGTTGGAGCGGTCGAGGGCAAACGATGCTTTGTTGCAATATATCGAATGTCACAGGTCCTCCGGATACGCTTTGTTCCAAGGATTCACCCGCGGATGCTGCCCCTGCTCTGGCTCGTGGCCGTGGTCGTCGCCGTTGAGGCGGCGACGTCGCCGGCGTTCCGAGCGCATGGCCCATGGGCGCCAAGTAGACGCGCACTTTCCGAGGATGAGCGTGTAGCCTGGTGGATTGGTGTCAAGGCGGCGCGGCCGCACGCCCTCGACGACGCGTTCGCCAACGTCACAACGCCATCGTGCGTACCTCGACATCATGATTGGTGGCACCTCATGCCAATGACGTAGACATCCACGCTTCATGCGCTACCTTAGTCGAGCCGCTGTTGATGCGCTCACGCAGCCCGAGGCCGCGGCGCTGCCAGCGCTTACAGCGTGGCTTGGCCAGCTCAACACGACGTACTCGGCGGCGTCCAACCTCCTCGTCGTCGAAAGCTCAATTCACGAGCTCGAGACGCTTCTGGACACGACGCTCCGCGAGTTTGCTGCGTCGGACGCGCACCGCGTCATCAAGGCGACGACGCCCATCCACGTTCCCGACGTCGTCGCCGCCTACGTCGAATTTGTCAGCGTGACGCTGCCTGCGTCCATCGTTCCTAGCGCTACTGACGCGACAACCACCAGCCATCCGTCGCGTCGCCTCGACACAAACACCCTGATCACTCCCACAGTGCTGCGGGGCCTGTACCATATCCCTGCCGACCTCGTCGTGACCGATGCGCGGGCGACCCAGAGCTTTGCCGTCTTCTTTGAAGCGTCGTACTCGGAAGCCGACTTGATCGACTTTAACACGACCATGAATACGCCCCGCGCGCCGTTGGCCCAGCGCGGCAACCGCCCCAACGACCCGCGGTCGCCGCACGCCGAGCCGTCGCTGGACGTTCAGTACCTCACGGCCATGGCGCCGCTCGCCACCACATACGCGTGGCTCATGCGCGGGCGGAACCCGTTCTCAGCGCTCGACGAGCCGTTTGTAGCGTGGGCCGACGACATTCTCTCGCGGTCGTCGCCTCCGCTCGTCCATTCGATCAGCTACGCCGACGACGAGCGCCACTTGGCCGCCAACGCGCCCAACTACCTCCGCAGCCTCGACCGCCTCCTCCAGAAAATGGCGCTCCGAGGCCTGACCGTGATCGTCGCCAGCGGCGACGACGGCGCCATGGGTACGTCAACGCCCTCGTGAGCCTGCGCAACATTTGACGCCATAGGTCTGCAGCACCGACAGCGCAACATGTCTCTTGCTGCTGCATGCGCCCAAGGGGGACCGCAATGGCCAGCGTCGAGTCCGTTCGTGACGTCGGTGGGAGCGACGATGCTGCTCGACGGCGATGAGACTGTGTGCATGGCCGACCACGGCGGTCGCATCACGTCGGGGGGCGGCTTCTCGTCTGTGTACGCGCAGCCGGCATACCAAACCCGTGCGCTGGCGTCGTACGTCGCCCAGCTGCAAGTGCCAGCAACGTATGCGAATCTCTCGGGCCGCGGGTACCCGGATGTATCGGCAATCGGAGCCCACTACCGCGTCCGCGTCAACGGCACGTGGCGCGTCATTAGCGGCACGTCGGCGTCGACGCCGGTGCTGGCCGCCATGGTCACCCTCTGGAACGACGCGCGACTGAACGCGGGCAAGTCGCCGGTCGGGTTCCTCAACACGCTTTTGTACGGGTTCCCGTCCCGCGATGCGTTCTTTGATATCACCACAGGCGACAACCGCGCCGGCAAACGCCATCAGGACAAGGCGCCCCGGTGCTCTCACGGCTATGACGCGGCGCACGGGTGGGACGCAGCAACGGGCCTCGGGGCGCCACGCTTTGATGCGCTCCTGTCGCTTGTGCTCCACGCCGAAGACGTCTTGCGGGGCAACATGACGGCACTGACAATTCCGGTGGTTGTTAACGATACCCGCACCTCGCTCTTGGCAGCGACCAAGTCGTCGGTCATGCAGTCGGTCGTCAAGTCGGTCGTCACATCCATGGGCACCGCGTCCTGGCTGCGGGGCGCCGGTATCTTTGGCGGCACCCTCGTGCTGCTGGTCGGTCTCGCGACGGCCGTCATGACGCTCTGCGTCAAGCTCTGCAGACGCCGGCATGCCCGCTACGAGAAGGTGCCGACCGGCCACGACACGACGCTGTAAGACACGTAAATGATAGAGACTAGATGCGTTGGATTTGGGCGGATATTGCATACATGAAGGACACTCGGGCGTTTACAAGCCGAGCTGCACCTTGCCCATGGTCACAGCGCGCCGGTTTGTACTACGGCTGCTGCTGCTGCTCACCGAGCTCTTGACGGAACTCGCGTCACTGCGATCGCTGCGCGCGGACGGCGGGCGCGAGTCGGACGCGCCCTTCTTGTGGCCACGCGCAAGCGCAGCGCCGGGCGGCAAGGCCGGGATGTGGAGATTTTGCTCTTTTACGCTTTCGTGGAGCGGGTCGCTGAGCTCGGGAAACTCTTGCGCGAGCTGCCCGAGCGTGTAGAGGAGGCTGTGGTTGACTTCCTTGGCGTGGTACGTCTCCAGCACGACCTCTTCGACGGTTTTCTCGTGCTCGGAGACGATGCGGTTGGCGCGGTGGTCCTTCAGAAGACGATCGAGGCGCTTGGTGACCTTGGCGCCTTTTTCCCGCTCGGTCTCGAGTTCTTTGAGCACTTGGGCTTGGGCAGCATGGAGGTTTTCGTTGTGGTCCTTGAAATGACGCGCTTGCGTCTCGAGCTCCGCAATGCGGTGCTGCTCGGCCTCCATGTCCATCTCGAGCCGCTGGAGCTCCTTCTTGCGCTTGAAGAGCGTGTCTTCGGCGACCTTGACTTGGTCTTCGAGCTGGTTCATCTTGATCGCTTCTTCGCCGACCATGTCGGCTCGATGGAAGCTCTTGCGGTACTCGGTGTTCCGGCCCTCGAGGTGCGCGAGGGTCTTGGTGAGCGCGCGCACCTCCTTCTCGGCGACGCGGATCTTGTCGTCGAGGTCGTCACCTTCGCGCTGGAGCTCTTCCCGGCGCTGCGCGGCCTTGATGACAAAGTACGCCTGGCTGCGCTCTTGCCCGTCTTCGTCCGTGTTGCCAAAGGGACTTGTCTTGCACAGCTACAATGCACGATACGCTTGAGCGCGGCAACAACAGGGGCGCTACCGTCTCGAATTTCGCTTGGAGTTTCTTGATGCGGAGCTCGCGCTCGGCGTGTTCGACCGAAACGCGGTGGCGCTCTTCTTCGGCCGCCTTGACTTGCGCACGCTGCACTTCGCGGTGGACGCCAATCTCCTTCTTCCGCTCTTCCATGCTCTTTTTGAGCTGGAACTCGCGGTTCTCGAGTGTGAGCACTTGGTCGGCGCGCGAATTGAGAAAGTCCCGAAGCCGCTTGACCTCCAATTTTTGCAAATCGTGCTGCACGAGGAGGTCTTCCTTCTCGCGGTAAATGGCCTTGAGCGAGTTCTCAGCACTCGCATTTGCGAGTTCGTGCTCGGCGATCTTGGCGGTTGTCTCTTCCCGCGTCGCAAGCAGCGCACGCTTCGTACGCTCGGTCGCATTGCGCTCGTCGCTGAGCTTCTTGCACTGTGTTTGGAGCATCGAATACTGCGCTTGGGTCGCGTCGTACTCGGCCTGGAGCACCTCGATCTCGGCCTTCATGGCTTTTGTCTCGTCGGCCGTGCGCTCGCCGGACGCGCGCGACACCTTGCGCTCCATTTGCTGGATCTGGAATTCACCATTGTAGACCAGCTCCTGCTGCCGCAGCGCCGACTGCTCAAGGAGCTTGATCTTCGTCGAGAGGTTGCGGCTCGCAGCGACAGCACCCGAGATCTCAGCGATGAGCGTCGCCTCGGCTTGCCGCAGCGTAAAGAGCGTCTGGCTGCGGCGAAACATTTGGTCTTTCAGGAGCGTAATCTCCTTATCAAAGCGCATTGACTCGGCCTCCATCGCGTTGAGGTCTGCCTCGGCGTTCTTGGCCATCGTCTCGGCGTCGACCGTCGAGTTCATGGTCGCTTCGAGGATCTTCTTGGTAGTCTTGTACCGCGTCCGTGTTCCCTCGACGTCGTCGATGAGCTTGTCCAAGTGCGACCGCTTGTTGCTGTTGTACGAGCGCTGCTGGTTGAGGTGCGTCACCGTGCTCGTGAGCTGGTTCTTGAGGATTTCGACTTGGTCGCGGAATTCTTGGAACCGGGCATTGGCGGCTTGGAGTTCGAGGCGCAGTTTGGACTGCAGGCGCTCTTTGGCCTGGATCTTGACTTGGAGGTCGTTGTTGTCCTGCTCCTGGAGCTTGAGCCGGTGCTTGTGCTCGTTGAGCGCGTCCTTCTTCTCTTCGACGCTCATGCGCTTGGACGCAAACTGCTCGCTCGCCGCTGCTATCTCGGCGTCGCGTCGCTTCATGGCCTCGAGCGTGTCTTGCCACTGCTTGACGAGCTGCTGGCGCTCGTCATGCATGGCGCGGAATTCATCGGCGGTCTTGTCGAGTTCAATCTGCTTGGCTTGCGTCTCGGTCGCCTACATGGCACTTGTCAATACTAGCCCTCTCGGGGAATCGCTACCTCGTGTTCGACGAGCTGCTTTTGGACTTGCAGCGCTTTTGTGAGCTTTTCAATCTCGAGGTTGAGCTCCTTGATCCGCGCGTCGTCGGCGCGCGTGTATTTCTCGAGCGCCATGTTGTCGTCCTCCTTTTGCTTGGCCGCGACCGCCCATTGCTCGAGCTCGTCTTGGTTCCAATTCATTTGCATCTTGAAGTTGTCCATGTCTTCGTTGCCCTTGAAGAGGAAGTTTTGGATCGCGTTGAGTTTGTTCTCGACGTCGTTGTAGACGCCATCGAGCTTCTTGAGCTCTTGTCGCACGCGCCCGGTCTCGCGCTCGCTCACTTGGCGAAGGTGCTCCTCCGTTGAGATCTCTTTGAGTTTGGAGCTATGGAGCGACTGCGTGTTGAGCAGCTCCTGCTTGACGTTCTTGAGGTGCTCGTCCATGATGCTGTGGCGCGAGCTCGTCTCGAGGATCTCTTGCTTGACCACATGGAACCGCTTCTCTTTTGCGCGGATCTGCGCATGGAGGTTCTTGTTGGCGTCGTCGGCGAAGAGCGGGAGGTCGTCGACCATCGACACGATCGGGACGTCGTCGGTGCCATCGCGGTTGTTGTTGCCGTCGTTGCCATGGTCGTCGTCGTCGTCGTCGTCGTCGTTGGCTTCGGGGACGCCGCCCCGGACCGAGCCGTCGGACCGCTTCCACGAGTACGTTGGCGCGTCCTCGACGTCGGCGTCGGCCATCCTGCGAAAAAGTGGTTTTACCTCCGGTTTCAGCTATTTTCAAACGCGAAAAACGGTTTCATACCAATATGAATGCCAAAATTTAGGCCTTCCAAACTGCACTGTCCGGTAACGTTAGTAAAATTCGGGAAACGTCGTCTCGTCGCGGGTAACGAACGTGCGCGCGTCTCGTATCTGGGTCGTCTGATCGCAAAGCCCGTCACCACGTCTGGTCTGGTAGACGCAACTGGAAAAGACTAGACTTGCACCAGAAGAGTCGCTTCAGGCAATCTCCCTAAATTCTAATGCGTCCAAAACGACGTTGGCACGCTCCCTTCAGTGGGCAGCGTGCGTCCAGGTGACCAACTTGACATGTCAATGAATGGCGCCAGAATCTCGGCGAACGCGCATCTGACCATTTCCCATCATTTTTACGCGCCCACAGCAGTACCGGTACACGAGTATGGTGGACCAAAGATCCGCGTTGATAGTCGCGAATGGGTCATTTAGTAGCAGAGGAGCAGAGACGAGTAGAAGGACGAAGCGTAGGCTGATGGAAGGACGATCAGCCGCCACTTGGTGTCGCCGGCCCTCAGCGTAATGCTACACGCGTCGGCCGTCGGGTTTGTTCACTGCAATCTCGTCGGCGCCAGTATCCGGATCCGACGACCCACTCGTGTGTAATGCTTTTCGCGGCAGCATAAAAATACGAGCGTCGATATACACTCGCGTCATTATAATAGGAGGCAAATCGTGTACTACATGAAATAGTGTGCGGGTACACGCCGCGAACGCACGCAGTGCGACCAACGGAGCGTGTCGATAAGGCCAGGGAGGACTTGGCAGCCACGCTTGTCGCACTTGTAGCGTCCGGCCATGTGCGTCACATTGGCGTCTCCTTGGTTGTGCAACTACACGGTGAGGAGGCGACAAAACGCTCATACTATTTCCTTCCACACAGTAGTTGCTGGCATCATCATCTGGTACAAAAAGTGCAGGAGGAGAGCTACCGCAGCGTGGTCGATCGCACGCATCTCGACGTATGGCGCGCAGTACACAGACGCTGTGCGTGTATTCGAGCAATTTCTGGCCGACAGCACTCTGTGACTCTGTCTTGTCGAGCTCCTGAGTCGATGAGACTGTCGAGTAATATTCGCATACTAACACGATATCCGTGCGTGTGTCACGCAGCGTATTATAATTATTGCAATGTGTTACGGAGTGTTACACGAAAAAGAACGGGTGTCCGGATACGCGCCTCTGCCACCCTATAAAAAGCGCAATTAAATAATAATATTCGCTGACTGGCTTGTTGGCGACTGGGAAGAGACCGACGTAAAGCCCAAAACGCCTCGTAGCATGCAGAAGATCCAAGGCTGGTTCCGCCGGAAGAAGAGCAACACGCTCAACGGCAACAGCGGTGGGCCGACCCAGTTCTCGAGCATGCCACCCGCGCCCATGTCGGGCCCGGCCGTGCTGCGCACGCAGGCCTCGCGCTCGAACGCGACGCCGATGCAGCCCGAGCCCGAGTCGCCGCCGTTCTCGCACCCGCTCTACTCGATGGACAACGATGGCATGCTGCGCTTCAAGGCCACCGGCAAGCAGCTCGATGAGAACGACATTACGATCCACCAAGACGAGATTCTCAACGCGGTCGTCGGCTACGTACACGAAACGATGAAGAGCACGATGGGCTTCCAGGAGGTCTACCTCCCGTCGACTGGGCCCGCGCACCTCAAGTGCAATGTCTTCGTCTCGTCCAACTACCTCACGGCGAAGAAGCTCATTGTGTTTGTCGCGGTCTCGCGCGGCCTCTCGCCCGGCCTCTGGAGCCGTGGCCTCATCTTGAACTCGGGCGTGAAGGCGGGCTCGATGCTCTCGTACTTTCGCAAGGCGCTCGACGAAGGCTACGGCATCGTCGTGCCCAACCCGAACAAGAACGCGGTCATGCTCCGTGACACCAACAAGAAGGTGCCGATCCCCGGCTCGTCGTCGCCCGAAGAACACATGGATTCGGTCTGGGACGCGTTCGTCGCGCCGTCCGAGGCCAAGCGCGTCTTCTTTATCGGGTACTCGTACGGCGGCGTGCTCATCAAGTACTTGTTGCAGTCGCGCGGCGAAGCGCTCTTGCGCCGGAACGGTGCCATCGCGCTCATCGAGTCGTCGCACCGCATCGAAGATGGCGACGCGCAGACGGTCAAGTCGCTCCTCGCCCACCGCGCCATGTACTGGGAGGTCAACCACGACGTCGGCTTCCAGCAGCCGCTCGAAGGCGACGCGCCCCATCGCACGGGCTGCACGTGTCTCTCGGCCGGCAAGCCGCCGCGTGCGGTCGCGAACCACTACTACGTCGCGGCCTTTTGCATCAAGAACGTGGCCGATGCGCTCTTCCGCTTCCTCGCCGTCCGGTACTGCCTCTCTCTCCTTCCTTCATGTGCAAAGCTCATGAGCTTCTTATGTGTAGCGACGCGCTGACGTACGTCGAAGCCGAGAAGAACCGGCCGGCCGACATTCCGCTGCCGAACGGCATTAGCGACGACAGCTTCCTCAACACGGCGACCAACACGTTCCGGCCGGACCCGAACGCGCCCAAGCTCAAGCGCACGGCGTCGGACGGCAAGTTTATCAACCCCGGCAGCGAAAAGCACTGCAACCTCTGCCTCTTCCACTTTACCATGTTTGACCGGCGCCACCACTGCCGCATGTGCCACCGCGCCGTCTGTAACGCGTGCTCGCGCGACCGGCTCTTCCTTCCGGGCTGGGCGACGGCCCAGCGCGTCTGTACCGACTGCGCGAGCGACGGTAACAAGCCATTCCCGCCCGATGCGTCGGCGACGCTCACGCGGCAAATGTCGAGCGGGTCGACGGTCGGCGAAGGCAGCACGCGCCGCGGGCCGTCGGGCTCGAACGCCGACAACCTCAACGGCTCGATGATCGAGTCGCGCCAGGAACGGTCGCGGTCGGGCTCGACCGAGAAGGCGCCCAAGGGCAAGCTCAGCGTCGACGACTTTGACTTGATGAAGGTCATTGGCAAGGGCGCGTTCGGGAAGGTCATGCTCGTGCGCCGGAAGGCCGAGAACGGCGAGGACAACAGCGCGAATGCCACGTACGCGATGAAGGTGCTCAAGAAGGCCAATGTGTTTGCGAAAAACCAAGTCGAGCACACAAAGGCCGAGCGCCGCATTCTGCGCGACATTGACCACCCGTTCGTGGTCCGTCTCCGGTACGCGTTCCAGACCGAAGACAAGTTGTACTTGGTCATGGACTATTACACGGGCGGGACGCTCTTCTTCCACCTGCGCAAGTCGCGCAAGTTCTCCGAGAAGCGTGCGCGGTTCTACGCGGCGCAGCTTCTCATGGCCATGTCGCACCTCCACGACCTCAACATTGCGTACCGCGATCTCAAGCTTGAGAACATTTTGATGGACGACAAGGGCTACGTGGCGCTCACCGACTTCGGGCTCTCAAAAGAGAACGTCGACGTCCCGGACGGCGCCAAGACGTTCTGCGGCACGGCCGAGTACATTGCGCCCGAGCTCCTCAAGGGCCTCTCGTACGGCAAGCCCGTCGATTGGTGGGGTTTTGGCACGCTGCTCTTTGAGATGATGACGGGACAGGTATGTCAGCATGACTTGTTTTGTCGATGGAATCTGATTGGACGAATGTAGACGCCGTTCTTTGACCGGAACCGCAAGAAGATGTTCCACAATATTCTGCACCGCGACGTGGTGTTTACGCCGGTGTTTTCCGAGGACGCCAAGAGCCTCCTCACGGGCGTACGCTTTGTAGTCTTACGGCGAGGTGTGACTCATGAGGATATTGTCTAGTTGCTGCGCAAGGACCCGGCCAAGCGTCTCGGGTCGGGCCCGTCGGGCGCCCAGGAAATCATGGACCACCCGTTTTTCGCCAGCATCGACTGGGACAAGCTCATGCGCAAGGAAATGGAGGCACCGTTCAAGCCGACGGTGACGGGCGAGCACGACACGACCAACGTCGCCGGCGTCTTCCTCCGCGAGCCGCCGAAAGACTCACCGGTGACGCAGCAGCTCGGCGCGACGCACCGTGCGCAGGCTCATTTCGACGGCTTCACGTACAACCCGGGCACCGTCATGTCCCGAGATGTGTAAAGATCTCATCATATTAGTAGTCGATTGTGTCTGTGCTTACAAAAAACGATAAGAAAATGCTTGCCCCCATACGTCATACCCTTCTGCATACGTGCACAGAGCCCTTCTTCAACGTCACGTCGAATGCGGAGACCAAGGCTGAGCTGGATCTGTGACGAAGACCTGCCACGAGGCGTTGACAGGCTTTGAGGTCGAGCGAGTCGACGAGCGAGGGGCGAGGGGCGCACAGATTCATTCATTCGCACGAGGTGTGTGTTGCGCGTCATGAGCAGTGCGGCAATGCTCTGGGTTTCGTCCGTCACATGACGTAGCACGAGCTTTGGTGGCGACTCAGCCAGCGCCGTAGCGCGTTGAGGATCCGTTGGAGTACGTCGTGTGGCAATCCCGAATCTCCAAGGTCGAGATGATAAAGCGTTGTCGACGCCGCAAGCATGGCTGCGGTAGCGGCGACCGCGTGGTCTGTCATCGTCACCATCCGCAAGCAAAGTTTCCCGAGCGCTGGCAGCTGTGGAAAGTTCGTCACGTCGACTCTGTGAAGCGTGAGCGTTGAAAGATGGCGACAAGGCGTCCAAGATCGGCGTCTCGTGTTGGAGAAAG